AGTCATCTGTGTAGGTGTAGATGCTGGATATAAAAACAGAATGATCCCGTCCTATCAATTACATGAAGTTACTATAGATAATCATTTGGCAGTCTTGACATTTGTTGTTATTTGATAGGGTCTTGTTTTGTAGCCTAGACAGGCTTTGAAAATTTAATCCTGCCTCAACCTCCTCATAGCTGGGATCATAGTCACGTACCACTATACTGGGCTAAACATTTAGTAATCTTGAGATAATTTAGGCAGCTCAGTGGTAGGAACAAGAGAATCCAAGGACAAACAGAGCTACACTGGAAGATTCTGTCTAAAAAATAAAAATAAAAAAATAACACACACATGAACTCTGACTGACTGGCAGGGATAAGACTTGCAGGTTCAAACCAGACAAAATCTCAGCAGGGGAAGGTGAGTGAACACACAGTCGTCGTCCCTCCCCCTCCAAACAAGAAGTTACTTGTAGTTGATAACTGCTTGGAAAGGAAAATAGATTTTCTTCAATGGAGTATCAGCCACATTCTAGGGCAAGTACTGTGCCTAGGAGTAGTTGGCCAACACAAAACCCACTCTTTATTTTTTAATGTACCTTTTGAGTTTTGTATTACTAATTTTCTTTTTTTAGTTTTCTTTTTTTGAGAGATTGAGTGAGTAGGGAGGTGGGGAGGACTTTGAAGGAGTTGGGAGGATAAAGAATATGATCAAAATATTATGGGAAAAATTTTTTTAAGAAAAATCTGCTGAAAAGGGAAAAAAAAGAGACTATGATGGAATGAAAACAAGGAATTCTAGTCACTCAAATTAAAATTTTTTACAGCAGGGCTGGAGAGATGGTTCAGTGATTAAGATTCCAGAGGGCCTGGGTTCAATTCCCAGCCCTCACATGGCAACTCAGCAGCCTCCTGTAACCCCACTCCAGGGGATCCGATACCTTTTGGCTTCTAAGGGCATTGCATACATGTGCTGCCAAGACATACAAGCAGGCAAAACACTCATGCATAAAATAAAGATAAATTTAAAAAATTACAACCACAACCTCCAAACCAAACACCTGCAGCCTCAAACCAAAAAAAAAAAAAAAAAAAAACAAAGCAAACAACAACAACAACAACAAAAAACAGCCGAAGAAAATGTTTAGTGGAGAGCTTGTTAGCATTGGTTTTGTAGCTTTGTATTACAGTATTTAGAGCAGATACAGTCTATAGCAGATATTGTGACCTAAACTATGTATACATTTATGGGGCTAGAGCTTAATTGGAACGGCCTTTCTTAACACGTTAGTGTATGTTATAGAAACTGGTAAGTTAAAAATTACAGTAATTAAAATTCATGGGCCAGTGAGATGGCTTAGTTGCTGAAGGTACCTGCTGATACCAAGTCTTGCAACCTGAGTTTGATCCTGAGATCCACTTTGGACCCTTCTACATGATGGAAAGACAAAACTAACTCCCACAGTCTGGACTTGAGCTCAGAGATCCTCCTGCCTCTGCCTCTGAATTCTGGGATTAGTGCTACCACATTTGGTACAGGGTAACATTTAGTTTTTCATGGTCATGTGTTTTCAAGTTTTGGGGGCCTCAGAAGATGACTTAGTGGGTAAGTGCTGTTGTGTAAGCATAATGATCTGAGTGTGGATTCCCAAGGTAGGCATTTGATCTGCAACCCCAGAGTTGAGGGAAAACAGATAGGAGGCTTGCTGGCCAACAAACTTAGCGGAACTCAAGTTCCAGGTTCCATGAGAGACTCCCAATTCCAAGACATCTTGTCTTTACCCCTGACTTCCACACATACCCGCACAAAACCTTTCTTGTTCTATTGATAATAGACTACAGAGAACAAGAGTAGATAGGATCTGAGAGGTTAGAAGTCTAGCATAGTAATTCTGGGAGAGACAAATGGTCTTTAGATGAGCAGATTTAAAGATGGGAAGAGGAGCATGGGGTAGGGAGTGGGAGGGAGTTTAAGATCGTGGTATGAGTAATTTAAAAGATAATAGTATCAGTTGAGATTGGGAAGACTTTGCAAGCATGTAAATAAAACAGTGGGAAGACCAATTTTGTTTTTGTGTTTTTAAACATAGTATGTGTTAGCTATCAGGAAATTATCTGGATACCATAAGAGAGGCTTGAGCTGGTGGTAGAATTGGACAGTTAATGCTAATGCTGTAGATGGTTTTTAAAATCATGGACTGAAGTGGATTACTAAGAAAGTGAATATAGAGAAGGAAGGGCTGAGGTTTCTTATGTGAGACCAAAGGCTAGTAAGGAGCTCAAAGAGAAATTATGTGGAATCACCAGAATACAAAAGTATAGCCATCATCTTGGAGGGAGGGGAGTGGTCAGTCTTGCTTTAGGTGACATAGATCACATTTCTTGGTTCATGCCAGGATGTATGTAGGAGATGGGGGATAGTGGGAGTTGTGGTTGGTAGTATTTTATGGAGCTGGGGATAGACTCCAGGGCCATGCACACACTGCCAGTGTTCTATCAGTGACAAACACCTATAAACACCCCCAGATATTTATAATCTGCCAAATAATACTATTCATATAAAATGTGCTTTGAATATTATTATTTTTTACATTTTATAAAATCTTTATTGACAAATAATTCACATAGTATACAGTTTGCCTGTTTGCACAATTTGATAGACTTTAGTCCAGCATCCTCATAGGCCCATGACACCATCACCACTTTCTATTTTAGAACATCGCTGTCTTCAATTTCATACACACATATAATGTATGGTAGTTACTGAACATGTTTATAATTGTAACCATTTTTGAGTTTATAATTCAGTGGCATGAATTACATTCAAGATATTAATTACACTCATATTCATTAATTACACTCACAATATTAATTATATTTGTGGTATTCATTGATTACATTTGCAGTAATCGTTCAATAACTACTTATGATATCCATTAATTACATTCATTGTATTGATTTATTACATTCATGATATGTCCTGATACTACTGTCCATTGGTGGGGCTTTTCCATCATTCAAAACAGAAACTCTATTTAGGAAATCATTGCTTTATATTCCTTTCTTTTCCATCTTGATATAATGTCTAATCTTTCTGTCTCTATGATATTGTATATTCTATATATTTCATGTAATATAATTCTATAGTATTTGTCTTTTTTTCCATGTAAAAACATGTATAACTGAAGGAGAAATAATGCACAGATAGCTTGAACATAAAAACAGGTTATAATTCAAGAGTCCAGGATTATTTGAAACTGGAAAATATTTTCTCTGTAGAAAATAGTAAAAATGATAACATTTTCCAATAAACCCTTTTAAGACAAATAATAGCTGAATTATACATACAAATACTGATTAGATTCTGGGATACAGAAGAAACTTATCTTCATCTGTTCAGAGAGCTATGTTTTACTTAAGTTGTGTAAGTGAGATTCCTATTCATCTTCCCCTTCACTGTTTGGTTTACGGCAGACATTTTTCTTTTTTTCTTTTCTTTTTTTGTTTTTTTCAGGACAGGGTTTCTCTGTGTAGCTTTGGAGCCTGTCCTGGATCTCACTTTGTAGACCAGGCTGGACTGGAACTCACAGAGATTCGCCCAGCTTTGCCTCCTGAGTGCTGGGATTAAAGGAGTGCGCCACCACCGCCGGGACATTTTTCTATAAGCTAATCCATAATCTAAAAAGATTTTAGCCTCCCCTCCTGAAAGTACAGCCAGCATATTCCTTCATCAGCTTGATACGATACAAATTCTTATCCTAATAGTGAAATGTTTCACTAAAGCTTGCCCAGTGATTAGGTAAAACCAAAACTTATTATAAGCCACAGTCATCTAGGTTCCTCCCTGCTAGGTAGCCTCCCTGGATCTGTGGGTTGCAGTCTGATTATCCTTTGCTTTATATCTAGTATCCACTTATGAGTGAGTACATTGAATAATATTATTTTGAATAATATTATTGAATAATATTATCTGACTATAACTTGCAGAAATAATTTTAAAACTTTTAAAAAATTATGTGGTGTCTGAAGAGATGGCTGCTGCTCTTTTATAGGACCTGGGTTCAATTCCAATCACCCACATAGTGTCTAAAACTGTCTGTAGACCAGCCATAGAGCTCACAGAGATAAGCCTACTTCACATCTGGTTCTAATTTTCTAAAAGATTGTTTTATTTGTGTGCGCGAGTGCCAAAAGAGATCCACCTGGCTCTGCCTCCCAAGTGCTGGGATCAAAGGCGTGCACCACCACCACCTGGATCCTTTTTGAATTTTTTGAGACAAAGTCTCATGTAGGCCACATGAGGCCTTGACCTCATATAGCCAAGGATAGTCTTGGTTTTCAATTAGCCATTTAAGTACCTACCCTACACACCCAGAAGTACAATTTTTTTTTTTTGTTTGTTTTTTTGAGACAGGGTTTCCCTGTGTAGCTTTGTGCCTTTCCTGGATCTCGCTCTGTAGACCAGGCTGGCCTCGAACTCACAAAAATCCGCCTGCCTCTGGCTCCTGAGTGCTGGGATTAAAGGCGTGCGCCACCACCGCCCGGCAGAAGTACAATTTTAAGATCAAACCATCTGATTCTGAAGCAGTAGTGTGGGAATAAAGTGAATAAATGGAGTCTTGGGAACCAGTGGGTACTGTGGAGAGGGGAGCTGAAAGTGTAAGAGGACTTAACTTGCTTAGACCCTAATTTACATCTGAACTCAGCTGAAAGGTTGAATGAGTAGCAGTGTCAAACACAAATTCCAACCAAGTGTGCTCCTGTTGGTTCTGAAGTTGTTAATTGAAATTGATAAAATGGTTATCTCAAAAGTCACAGGTTGTTTTATTAAATTTAAACTCTTAGAAGATGTTGTCTTTTAACTTAAAAGCATGGCATTTTTTTTAAATCCATAGTGGTTGAGACATCATAATTTTTTTTCAAAAGTGCCTTTAATAACATTTTAAGTAATGAGAGCGATAAAAGTTACTTAACCTTCCCCCCCAACTGAATTCTGGAATTTTCTTTTTAAAACAGGTGCCATGTTTCAGAACAGAGTAAGACACTTGTTAAAGAAGAACTGAAGACATTTTACAGATAACAGAGATAGTCTGATTACAAAGAAGCATTAACCTGCCTCTGAGGTGACTAAAGGGGAATAATGGTGATTTTGCGCCGGGCTCGGCCGCCTGCTTCCGCCCCAACCAGCAATGAATCTTGACTCGCTCTCGCTGGCCTTGTCTCAAATCAGCTACCTGGTGGACAATTTAACCAAGAAAAACTACCGAGCCAGCCAGCAGGAAATACAGCATGTAAGTATTCTATTCAGAATATGAATACCATTGAAGCAAAAACACATAGCCAATTGATGATAAGTTGGCAATGATAAGTGAAGATGTTGTGTGGGAGGTTATAACTTTGCTTCTCTGTGTTATTTTGCTTTAGTACAGTACATAAAAGACCTTATACCAATCTATGAGTATTTTCTTTATTCTTTATTTTTCTGTCTTACAAATGAACATGAAGCCAGGTATGCCTTTAATCCCAGCACTTGAGAAGCAGAGAGAGGCAGGTATATCTTTGTGCTTGAGGCCAGTCTGGTCTATATACCAGGTTCTTGGCCAGCCATGGCTACATAAAGAGACCTTGTCTCAAAAACAAACAACAATGACAGAAAATAAATAAATAAATAAAATAAAAAAAGCATGATCTGACATGATTTGGTCTAGTTCTACCTTTTTTCACCTTTGGCAAAGGTGAAACGATGGAACGGCTTAGCAGATAAGGTGCTTACTATATTTTAAGTAAGAGAATGAATGGGTGATAGGCTTCCTTAAGCCCACATAAAAGTTGGGAAAGTATGGTATCTTGCCACAGCTCTCTGGAGGCAGAGACAGGATCCCAGGGCAATGAAGACTAGCCAGATTAGCCATAATTGATGAACTCTGTTTAGACACAGACCCTCCCTCGATCAGTAAAGTGGAGGGTGATGAGGGAGGACATCTGATGTCAGCCTTGGGCCTCCATAGGCACCCTCACATTCATGTACTTTGTGGTACATGTTCCCACGTGCTAACAAATAAATATACACAGTACACATACAAAAGGTTGAAATTGCACTGGAAGTATAAGATGCGCAATGGTGGAGTGCTTGCTTAGTGTGAGTGAGGTCCTGAGTTCACAAATGGTTATCCTTGGGCTTTTAGCCATCTTCCTGGGTATGAAATAGTTTTGATCCACAAGTAAAGATGCTGAGCATTTGTGTTCCATGTGTTGATATTTATATCTTTGGAGAAGTACCCATTAATTCATCATCATCATCATCCCCCCCACCCTGCTAGAGAGATGACTTTGCAGCTAGGACCCTGCTGCTTTTCTTTCAGAGGACTGGAATTTGGTTTCTAGCATCCACCTTGAGTGACTTACAATTTCCCCAATTCCAGACGATCCAGTGTCCTTTTTGTGTTTACACACACAAACATAAAAAAAAATCTTTAAATCCTTGCTTTCTCTAGTGTATATTTTACATGTGTTAGTATTTCATTCAGTCTTTATGAAAAGTAGCTGAGTATGGTGTAGTCCCCCTTGGAGATTGAAGCAGAATGCTAAATATTAAAGCAAAAAGATTGCTATGAGTTTGAGGCCAGCCTGGGCATTCTGTAACTTTGTCTTAAAAAACAAAACAAAGGGCTGGAGAGATGGCTCAGAGGTTAAGAGCACTGGCTGCTCTTCCAGAGGTCCTGAGTTCAATTCCCAGCAACCACATGGTGGCTCACAGCCATCTATAATGAGATCTGGTGCTCTCTTCTGGCGTGCAGGCATACATGGAGGTAGAATGTTGTATACATAATAAATAAATAAATCTTAAAACAAAACAAAAACTTAATCCTCCCCCCCCCCCCCCCCCCCCTTCGAGACAGGGTTTCTCGGTGTAATCACTCTGTAGACCAGGCTGGCCTCAAAACTCACAGAAATCTACCTGTCTCTGCCTCTCAAGTGCTGGGATTAAAGGCGTGCACTCCACTGTCTGGCAGTTCTCTCCTTTCTATAATAGAAATTGTAGTTGATTCATAGGTAGCTAACATAAGTGAAATATGTACCTGATTATCTTAGCCAAATCTAAGAAAGAATTTATGCAGCACTATTTAAATTTGGTCTTTTTATTTTTGGTATGTGTGCAACAATTGTAGGTTTGCTTAATTTTAAAAAACATGTAAGACATGAACTAGTTAGCCTGCCTATTCAGGCAATGGGTATTAAGTTTTTTGCTATTTTAACTATCTTTCCAAAGATAGTATGTCTGCATATATAGGTGATGGAGATGGATATGTTAGCCTTTTTAAATATGAATGATGTTCTTTCTCTCTCTACTCCTTTTTTTTCCCTTTCCCCTTTTTGGGACAGTTTCAGCATGTAACTAGCTGGCCTGAACTTCTACATAGATCAAGTTGGCCTTGTCTTTCAAATGCTGGCATTAAAGGTCTGTGCCGCCACACCAAGCAAATTTTATTTATGAATGTTTTGCCTGTAGCATACATGTGTACCCTGTGCTTACCTAATGCCTTTGGAGGCCAGAAAAGAGCATTAGACCCCCTAGAACTGGTGCTACGGTTGGTTGCATCCCTCCATGGGGTGCTGGGAACCAACTCTGGGTCCTCTGCAAGAGCAGTAAATGCTCTTAACCACCCAGTTCTCTCTCCAGCTGTGAATAGTCAGATCTTCTAACAGCCATTCAGAGAAGACTCAGCCCTCAGCCCTACTTTCCTTGCTTTGGATTAATATGTCCTGAGCATAGTGGCACATGCATTTAATCCCAGCTCTTAGGAGGCAGAGGCAGGAGGATCTCTGACCAGGCTAGCCTGGTCTACAGAGGGAGTTCAGGACAGCCAGGGCTAAACTGATCAACTCTGTCTGGAAAACTACCTCCCCATCAAAGAAAAAGAGTCCAACCCATTAAGCATCTATTTTGGACCTCTTAAATGTAGATCCTCTGCATCTAAGCTCTTTGTCCCTAGCATTTGCTTTGCCATTTCCTTTTTTAGGGGGAGGTGGCACCCCAGCTAATCTGGTGAGGTCAGAGGACAACTTGAAAGAGATAGTTCTGTTCTTACACCATGTGGGTCTCAGACTTTGAACTCAAGCTGTTGGGCTTGCTAACATGGGTTAGCCAGCCCAATCATCTTGCTGGCCCCAGCAGTTAACTTTTAATTGTTTATTTTGAGACAGGGTGTCACTATGTATTCTGGCTCTGCTAGTAAAATGAGTTTTCATTGAGTATCTAGTAGTATTCATACAGATCAAGCAAAGAGATTTCAACTGGTTTTCCTCTCCGTTACTGAACACAGCAGTTATGGCTCAGTTCTCCATTTTTAGGTGCGTGTTTTGGCTTTATTACAAGACATGTATCTTAATATCTCCATATTGGAAACAACCTAAGAATCCATCAGTGATATTCTGTAAGCATCAAAACTCTTGTTCTGAACAGCATAGGTGACTCTCAGAAGGTTGAATGAGAAAATGCTAAGCATTCTGGCATTTGAGTCATTCTGTGTGTAAAGTTAAGTTTACCTGTCTTCAGAGCAACATGTTTAAGCATTTGTATTGTTCTAGGTATTGCCTTTGATGTGATTTAATGGCAGTTCTTACATTTTTTTAAAAATTTATTGTTGCCGGGTGGTGGTGGCGCATGCCTTTAATCCCAGCACTCGGGAGGCAGAGCCAGGTGGATCTCTGTGAGTTCGAGGCCAGCCTGGGCTACCAAGTGAGTTCCAGGAAAAGGCGCAAAGCTACACAGAGAAACCCTGTCTCGAAAAACCAAAAAAAAAAAAATTGTTTTTTGAATTAAATATTTTCATACAATATATTTTTTTAAAAAAATTATATTTCTTTTGTGTTTATAAGTGTTTTGCTTACATGTTTGTCTGTGTACCACATTATGTGCCTAGTGCCTATGGAGACCAGAAAGCATCAGATCCCCCTGGAACTGGAGGTATGGATGGTTGTGAGCCACCATATGGGTTCTGGGAATTGATTCCTCCCTTCTGCGAGAACAAGGGCTCTTCACTGCTGAGCCATTTCTTAAACCCCTTCATACAATATATGTGGATCATGTTTTTCCCCAGCCCCAGGTCTTACACTTGGGCAGTCTTAACTAGGGTAGTTAGTTAGTTAGTTAGTATTGTCCCACTGTTTTTGGTGACAGGGATAGTGCCTCTCCAGACTGTGTATAAGCACTACCGCTGAGTTCTGTCTTGTTTTATGTTGGAAGTTCAAAGATGTTATTTTGTTCATTGTATTCTGAAAATTGCAGATATGAGATTTAAGTATACACTACCTCTGTAGTGAATTACTTTATATTTGTTCATAGGCGACAAGTAAAAAATTAGTCTTTGCATTGCAAGGTATCCTAGTTCCACGTTTCTCTGTAACAGCCCTGGCTATCCTGGAACTTGCTTTGTAGACCAGGCTGGCCTTGAACTCACACATCTGTCTGCTTCTGCCTCCTGAGTGCTGGGATTAAAGATGTGCACTACTGTGCCTGGCACACTTTTTTTTTTTAATTTTTAAAAATTTTGTGTATGTGAGTATTTTTCCTGCTTGTATTTCTGTTGTACTGTGCATGCCTGGGTCTATGGAGGCTAGAAGAGAGGTCACAGGAACTTTTGGAATTTGAGTTACAGATGGCTGTTAGCTGCTGTGGGTGCTGGGAATTGAACCTGGATCCTCTGCCAGAATATCCAGTGCTCTTAGCTGATGAGCCATCTTTCTAGCCCCACTTGGCTTTCTTGAGATAATCTCATGTAGTCTCACACTGGTTATTCTTATGCACCCATGATGCCTACTCTACAACCCTTGTATGGATCACCTTAAATCGGGCCTGTGTTGCAGGTTGAGGTTGTATTCTCTGGAAACAGGTATGAGAATTTGGAAAGTACAATAAAACTAATGCATCAACACTGTACAGGTTAGGGAGGGATGAGAACAGGATGGGATGAGACTGGGATCTACAGTTTTGCTGAGGAACTGTGGTTCAGCCCCAATAAAACCTGAGTTAATGCTTAGGTACTGGTGGTGCATGCCTTTAATCCCAGCACTCAGGAGGCAGAGGCAGGCAGATCTCCGAGTTCGAGGCCAGCTTGGTCTACAAATTGTGTTCCTTGGACAGCCAAGGCTACACAAAGAAAGAAACTCGGTCTGAAAAACCAACCAACCAACCAAATAAACACCTAGGTTAACATTGTGTGTTAACTTCTAAGTCATATATCAAAGGTGTACCACAGTTGGCTCAAAGTGCTAGACCATGGTTATATCC